AGGGGACAGCAGCAAAGCAGAGCTGGCTGCTGCAGCCACGGTGAGCACAGCAGGTGGGGAGAACCCAAGGGAGTCCTGCCCCCTGCCCCAGCCCACCCAGGCCCTCAATATGGGGGAAAATCTCAGGAGGGGGTCACTGTGTTTAGTCTGTAACTTTAAAAACACCAAGCAGTCCCGTGGCCCCTTCGAGACTAAGAAATATGATCATGAGCTTTCGGGGGTTAAACCCACTTCCTCAGATGGGCTGGAGTGGAAATAAGAGAATCCAGAGCGTATGTAGCCCTGCCCCAGCCCACCCAGGCCCTCAATATGGGGGAAAATCTCAGGAGGGGGTCACTGTGTTTAGTCTGTAACTTTAAAAACACCAAGCAGTCCCGTGGCCCCTTCGAGACTAAGAAATATGATCATGAGCTTTCGGGGGTTAAACCCACTTCCTCAGATGGGCTGGAGTGGAAATAAGAGAATCCAGAGCGTATGTAGCAGCAAAAGCGGGTTACCTATCACTTGTAGGACCCATGTTAATGACACTAATGGAGTCAGGCTGGCTATGTCCCATTCGTGTAAACATGAATTTCAAAGGCAGGAGAAATTGCCTTTGTAACGCATTAGCTAGTTAATAGCTTTATTCAAGTTCAGGTTGATAGTGTCTAATTTGTCAATGAATTCTAGTTCGGCCGCCTTCCATAGAAAGCTGCCGCGGGCTCCCCACAAAATGCAGGGGCCCCGGTGACCACCCTGAACCATTCTATAGGTGGGATGGCTCTAGACACCTCCTCCTCCAAGCCACAGGGCCATGCCGGCAGTGATGCAGAGCTAGGAGACAGATACTGCGCTGCTGGTGGTGCTGAGGGGCCCCCCGGGGTGTTTTAAATAGCCCAGGCAGGTGGGGCCGGGAGACTCAGAAGCGTCCTACTCCCCATAGCTGCTTCCAGAGGGGGGTGCCCCCTAGGAGGGTGTCAGGACTGGACTGGACCAAAGGAAATTAAGTTTGAGACTCCTGCTCTAGTGGCCAGGAGCAGAATGTGGCCATGACGAGTCCTAAGCCCTATACTGTAAAAGGGATTCTCCACAGACTAGGATGTGGTAAGCAAGGAGTCCTGCAGTGGCGGGGGCAGAGGCTGTTCCAAGCAGGATTGCTCCTCAGCATAACAGACGTACTCCCGCGAGCAAAACACTCAGGCTACGTCTAGACTGGCATGATTTTCCGCAAATGCTTTTAACGGAAAAGTTTTCCGTTAAAAGCGTTTGCAGAAAAGAGCGTCTAGATTGGCACGGACGCTTTTCCTCAAAAGCACTTTTGCGCAAAAGCATTTGTGGCCAATCTAGACGCGTTTTTGCGCACTAAAGCCCCGATCCTTTTGCGCAAAACAAATCTGAGCTGTCTACACTGGCCCTTTTGCGCAAAAGGACTTTTGCCCGAACGGGAGCAGCATAGTATTTCCGCAAGAAGCACTGATTTCTTACATGAGATCATGAGTGTTCTTGCGGAAATTCAAGCGGCCAGTGTAGACAGCTGGCAAGTATTTCCGCAAAAGCAGCCGCTTTAGCGGAAAAACTTGCCAGTCTGGACACAGCCTCAGTGTTTCATTAAACACGGGGGGAAATTGAGGTACAGGAAGATGGAATGGACCTACCCTAGGGCACACAGCCAGAGGGTCAGAAGGTGAGAATCCGGGCTCCCAGCCCACCACAGCTGTAACCACTAGACCCCACTCGGCTCCCAGAAGCAGGGAGAGAACCCAGGGTTCTGGGTTGTCAATCGATGGACCCCAGTTCTTCGCAAGCCTATTGTGCGGTGTTTTAGCGGGTGTGTATGTGTGTGTGTGGGGGGGGGTGTTTTCAGTACTGGAAATTAGGACTCTTGGGTTCCGCCCCCAGCTCTGGGAGGGCCTAGTGGTTAGAGTGGGGAAAGGGGGGCTAGGAGCCCAGACTCCTGGGTTCTATTTCCAGTCATGGGAGGGGAGCAGGGTCCAGGTGGGAGGTGACTGGGGAGCAGGACCCCAAAGTTCTATTCCTGTACAGCCCCCACCCCCCAGGGGAAGAGCTCTGCATTTGGGCTACGGTGTCAGCACAGCAGGGCCACAGAGCTGGGTCTGCAATGGAAAAACACAGGTGGGACAGGCCCCAGGCCCGGCCCTCAGCGCAATGCAGGCATCCTCCCGTCCCGGCCACCCTGCTCCAGTGCTGGCTCAGTTCTACCAAGGTCAGGGCTGTGGGTGGGGGCAGGGAAGGGGAAGTGTACTTTCCGCTGCCTCTGCAATTCTGCCCTTGGCCTAGGGCCAAGCAGGCCCTGTCGTCTGAATCCCCACAGCCCCCTAGGAGCCAGTGGGGCTGCCACTGCCCATGGCAGGGCCGGGGAAACCGAGGCATGGGACTAATGAGTCACTGCAGGGCTACCACGGCCAAGGCATGCATGGGGAAACTGAGGCATGGAACCCCTGAAGCGCCAGCAGAGCTGCCACCGCCCAAGGCATGCACGGGGAAACTGAGGACTAGAGCCCCTGAGGAGCTAGCAGAGCTGACACCGCCCAAGGCATGAATGGGGAAACTGAGGCACAGATTTTTTTGAGGGGTGGGGATTCAGCTAAGTTAATGCATCGTGAAGTAAAGCTGGGGATAGAGCCCGGAGTCCCCCCC